AAAAAAAAATCTATTAATATGAAAATGTTTACAATCATATAGAAATCTCTCATCCAAGACTACATGTATTGTAAAATGCATATATTAGCAACCACTCCTCACAATTATTCTATAAAAAATGACCGTAAGCTAATTCCTAGAGCTTGATGTCAAACCAAGCAATTTTCTCGAGATAGTTATATTAATATAGAATGACAAAAATTTTATTTCTTGTTTTTCTGGTTTTTAACTGTTTAAGAGATCAACGTAGGCTAAGGGCGGCACCAAATCCTTTTGACTTCAGCCCATTCATAATACACTTCCTTCACGTCTATATATAATGAGAGTCATCTCTCATTAGGACCTACAACTTTCACTTTTGGAGTTAAAGTTTGCTCTCTTTTTTTCCTTTTCGAAATTCTCATTTAATTTCTTCTTTTGTACACCTCTCGGTCTTCAAAATCATCAATGGGAAGATCACCTTGTGAAAAAAATGGTGTCATAAAAGGTCCATGGACTCCTGAGGAAGACATGAAACTCATTCAATACATTCAAGTGCATGGTCCATGTAATTGGCGAACTCTTCCAAAGAATGCTGGTAAATACAATGAAAAACATTAATAATAATTTTTTGCATCCTTAATGATGTTTTCTCTTATTTGTAATGGAAATTGAACATAGTTGTAATTTGTGCAGGGCTTCAAAGACATGGAAAAAGTTGTCGTCTACGTTGGACCAATTATTTAAGACCTGGTATCAAGAGAGGAAGATTTTCATTTGAGGAAGAAGAGACTATTATCCAGCTTCACAGTGTTCTTGGCAACAAGTAATAATAATCTCTCAATCTTTTTGCACGTTATGTTTAATATGCATATAAGTTTTGCTTATCATGCATTATGCTAAACCTCAATTTGTTTCTTCTGATAAGGTGGTCTGCAATGGCGGCTCGGTTGCCTGGAAGAACAGATAATGAAATCAAGAACTACTGGAACACTCATATAAGAAAGAGACTTCTTCGAAATGGGATCGATCCAGTGACTCATGCTCAACGCCTCGATTTTAAAGATCTCTCATCACTGTTAAACTTGCCACAGATTAATCTTTCGAATCTCCTCCGACTTCAAACCCTATTAATAAATCCAGAAGCCCTACGGCTGGCAGCTTATCTTCTGGAAAATCCTGAATTGCTATTGACAAAACTCCAGGAAAACCAATTATTCAACGCTCAATTGCAAAACCAGACCCCCGTTTTCCAAACTGACCAACTTCAAAACACTTTTGATCTACAAACCCCTCTTTGCAATCCATCCACAGATCTTCCTGTAACTGCTTCAGTTTCCAATCAATCTCATCTCATACAAGGGAATATGGGACAGATCTCTAAGAACTCAGACAGTTTAAGTGGCCAAACATTTCAAAATAACACAACTACATTTGAAAATGTCTCTTTTATTGAAAATTTCTTATTTGGGGCTTCTGACCAAAGGCAGAAAGATTTATCAGAAAACATAAGTTTTCAGTCCTTGAACAGCGGGAGCAATAGCAGCAAAAATTTCAGTTTTGATTCAGTTTTATCGACGCCTCTCTCGAGCCCAACTCCTCTAATTTCAAGCTCAACATATATGAACGGAAATACAGAAGATGAGAGAGAGAGTAATTGCAGTAACCTGTTGAAGTTTGCAATACCAGAGAGTTTAGATTTTGATGATTTCATTTAAACACACTCATATTTCATAATTTGCATTCCACTTGTATATTTTAGGTAATTGTGAGGGCGCAATCGGTTACTTTTGTGTCCAGTCCTTCTAGGATTTTAGTTTGCCTTGTTCTTTGGGATCTTTTGTAAGTTTGTATTGCGCTTGTTTGAGCCCATTTTTCTAAGATTGCATTTTTCAAAAAAAAAAAAAAAA